AAAATTTAGGATTTTTCCCTGGCTATTCAATGGCGACCATAGATTTGACCTTGACCTTCAAGGTCAAGTTAATTTTTTCAAATGGGATGCCTTACTTTTGACACCGGAAATGAAGAGCAGAAAATTTTACGTTCAGATATGTCCTTGACCATTTTCCGAATTTGACCTCTGATGGTCATTAAAGGTCAAATCAAGGTCACGCATGGTTTGGCGCGCTGTCTTGAACGAGTTGCAAAAAAATTACCATAACTAACGTTGTAGGATTTTTCCCTGGCTATCTGACGGTGACCCTTGATTTGACCGTGAATGGAATTTCCATTCACGCAAGTTTAGTTTTAAGGCTTTCTTTAATGTCATAATGAATGAAATAAAATAAAAAATAACATTGAAATTTTTGCGTACCCATCTTTTGATGCAATCCACCAATCGATCCAATTTTTTGTAACTTCGTAAAATTGGAAGTGCTGCTTAGCCAGGTGTTCCATGGATCTAAACAAGTAGTAACCCAATGGAAAAATATCTGGTAATAGGGTAAAACATTCCATCCCAGCATCTAAGTATTTTTTAACTTCATGAGCAATATGTGGTTGAATGTCGTTATGTTGAAAAATTACTATATTGTGCCTATACTTACAATTATCATAGCATAGCGTATCCAGATTTCATTGCCAGTGACGATGCGATGCAACAAAACCTTTCTTTTTTGTCATTGAAGCAATTGTTCACAAGTGAAAAATTGCTGCAATGCAAATGCATTTAACGTTTGGAAACTGTTGTGTGATAAAAATTCAACGATTCATCTTGCATTTGACATAAATCTTGGTCAATTAATGCTTCCGATTCCTCATCTTTAAACTTTTTCGATTCACCAGGCCGTTCTTTGCCAACTGTATCGAAATCACCACTTTTAAAAAGTCGAAAACACTACTCACTTGTTTTTATCGATGACGCATGTTCACTGTAAGTTTCCAACAGTACTCGATGACTTTCAGCAGGACTTTTCTTTGAATTAAACAGAAAAAATAAAGCTTCTTGCAAATGATGTTTTGTTGGCTCGTAATTTGACATCTTCAGAGATGAGAAAAAATATGTTGTTTACATTTCAACAAAACAATACATAATAAAAAGTAAAGCCTAGTAACAGAGCTTTGACATGAATCTAGTTCCAGAAGTGCCTGATGCGATATAGTATAACTTACGCATCTATATAAATTCCTCAAAATTAATTCACAGTTCTAGTAAGTCAAGGTGTAAATACTCAATTGGCAGAAATATTTTTTGCAAATAAAATACATATTTTTTAATACCAATTACCACATTGATACATGGAAGAAAACTTTTTTACTCTGATTCTCTTTATAAATGTTTGATACATGACAACTTAAGTTAGATATGTGCATGTATATATATTTCTTTTTTTTTCTAGAAACATGTAATTAGGTTGTTTCTAACCTGTTTGTTTCTTATTCAAAATAAAATAAAACTTGGAAATTGTTATACATAGAAATATATGTTTAAATAACTCGGTTTTCATCAGCATTTCCATACATTAATCATTGGTCGTTGTTACCGTATTGATGGGCTACTTCAGTTTCACAAAAAGAAACCAGTTGAAGTAACAGTAGGTATAGAAAAATGAATAACTTAAAACAACTGAACACCAAATAATTTTCACAAAAATGGCACACATTTTCATAATACAATTTTCCTATTTACTACAAAATCCGAAGTATGGTAATTCCACTGCGACTGGCAATCACCGTCCTGTGGATAATGTTTTTATAATTGAATATATCACGACACATAATCAAATAAGTGCAATTTTGAAAAAAACTTTTCTGGGCTCGAAGAATGAGTAAAATGAAACAAGATGATTCCAAAAGAAAAAAGTCTGCTCTTTCCAATGATGATAAAACGAATTTGATTGGAGGAAAATGTTTTAAGCTATTTAGGTTTGAATATTCACAAAATTTAAAGCATAAAATTCAAATCTTATGTTTAATAGCGCATATCTTAACAACAAAGTGAGCTTAATAGCTTATAATTTAGCAGCTTAAAATCAGTAATGGGTTTAGTTAGCTTACCAAAGCATATATTTCTAGATCTCGTTTCAAAGTTATATCGACGCTTTAGTACGAAAACATGCTTCTTCATCTTCATCTTCATCTAGTGGTTGATCCTTTAAAAAGTCCCATAGCACTGCGGCCTAATTAGGCCTATTGTGCGACCCACTACTAGTCCTATTCAGCAAGTAGATTTGTCCTTTTTACAAAGTCCAAAAGCTTCCTTGCTGACACTTCTCTCAATTCCTTGGGTTCCAAATAGGGTCTCCCAAGGAGCGTCATTCTGCTACGTGCAAATCCCGGGCACTCGCCCAGGATATGCAGAGAAGTTTCATCCGCTGATTCACATCCTCGGCAGACTGGACTGTCTACAAGCTTTAGCTTATGTAGATGTTTCCTAAAGTGACAGTGTCCCGTTATGAGTCCTGTCACTCTCCTGAGCCGGATTCTATTCAAGCTCAGTAGCTCATTCGCTCTTCCCTTCGAAGGATACTCCATAAGCTCCTTAGAATGGCTATGTCCTGGCCCTGAAGTCCAGTATTTCCTATGTTCTGTCTCTGTCCATTTGCACAGAGCCGGCCTGACCACACTGGGAGATGTGCTACAGAATGGCACCGGGAAAATGAACACTGTCTCGGATCCCTTCCTAGCAAGTTCATCCGCTTTCTCATTTCCACAAATGCCTTTGTGCCCTGGCACCCAACACAGTCTGACTGTATTGTTGGTGGCCAGTTCAGTCAGCATTTGTAAACAGTCCCACACCAGTTTTGAACTTACCTTGTGTGCGGCTAAAGCTTTAATTGCAGCTTGACTATCAGAGAATATATATATATGAGTTTACGTCTATAACCTCTACGTACATGCTACCTCAAATTAAGCTTGGAGAACATGCTAACTCAGATCTTTAAGTAAAAACATGCTATCTCAGTGTGACTAGAAATTTAAGTTGGCACATTGAATGATTGAAACCGTTCATTTATAATAAATTTATATAATATATTTTTCAAAAAGTAAGGAATGTTTATGTTCAGGTACACTGTTTATTTTATTTTTTTATACAACATTTTTCAATTAATTTTGTTAAGTTACTGTTATAAACAACAAAAAATTGTTAATTAAAAAAATAAAATAATATGCAGTATGCTGCAACACGTACATTACTCGACGTTTTTTGAAATAACGAATTATAAAAAATATAGTGTATACCTTAATCCTTAATATATAAAAATGTTTGTTATTACTAAAAATTATTCGATTTTTTTCATACAAGTTTGCTTTGATATAAAAATTAATAGCGCACTCTTACTTGATTTATAGTCACTATACTGTTAATAGAGTTAACATAATAACCAGAATATAAATATAATGTATAAAGTTGAATGATATGTATACATATATCGTTGTGACGGGCGCATATGATTTGCAAGTGCACATTTTTGCGGTTCCCCATGCACACGTTTATCATCAGCAGATCATAAAGTACCGGTAATAAAAGTGTCGCATACCTGCATTTCATTTCCAAAGTCTATGCAAGGACACCGCTACCTTGTTTTTATTGAGGTGCAGTAAAAACGATTCGGACCCGGAGTTTAGGGCCTAGCCTGGTCCACTATATAATTCTTTTTATTGCAGTCTCCTTAGGCATACAAAATTATTTTCAGAATAAATTGTGCATCACAGATTTTGTGATAAAGAAAAATAAGTGTATCAAAAGTAGAGACTATAAATCAGATAAGAGTATGCTATTAATTTTGATATCAAAGCAAACTTGTATGAAAAAATATAATAATATTTAGTAATAACAAACATTTTTATATATTAAGGTATACACTATTTTTTTTATAATTTGTTATTTTAAAACACGTCTAGTAATGTACGTGTTGCAGCATACTGCATATTATTCTATTTTTTTAATTAACAATGTTGTCGTTTATAACAGTAACTTAACAAAATTAATTGAAAAATGTTGAAAAGAAAAATAAAATAAACAGTGTACCTGAACATAAACATTCCTTATTTTTTAAAAAATATGTTATATGAGTTTATTATAAATGCACGGTTTCAATCATTCATTGTGCCAACTTAAATTTCTAGTCACACTGAGATAGCATGTTTTTACCTAAAGATCTGAGTTAGCATGTTTTCCAAGCTTAATTTGAGATAGAATGTTTTCCAACTGAAATTTGAGATAGCATGTTTTCCAACCAAAATCTGAGATAGCATATTTTCGTACTAAAGCGTCGATATTTAATAAAAAATCTGCCCCAAATTGACGCGACAGATTATATGAGCAACTTTGTGAGATGACATGAATAAAATTAAAACTTTTTAAACCTTGGCACTACAACCACCATGCAGAGTGTAAAAAGTTGTCCTTGGTTGCCACTGTTCAAGATGCTACTTGCTACGGTTTAAATAACAACACTTGCAACTTGGCAATTTATTCGAATGTGTGATTGCTTCGCACGTGTGACCCTTTTTCAAGAAGCCTCAGCACCCACTTTATATCTACTACCAGTGACACTTAGATTTTGCACATCACTTGAACATTTATTCAACACTAACACCAAATTTCATCCAAGATTCAAAAGGCACCAAAAAGTTTTAATTAAGTGACATGATCATACTTTTTAGGTATGTGAACTGTAAACCAACTCTTAATTAAACTGTAATAATTGGAATCTAGGGACAGTCAAGTTCATATTGCTTTGCAGCTCACTACGTGTGCATTATATGACGTAAGCCAGAGACAACTTTAATTAAATCATTTTCATGACTTAGGTATTTTTCATGTTTCAGATACAGAGAAATCTAACCTGACCTAAATTATCAGTTAGAATTTGTGTAATATTGCAATCTCTTTCATATCTTAATTTATATCAATCGAGCTTAATAAGTTTTGGAGCAATAATGAATATATGGAATTTAAATGCATTCTAATATAAAAAAATATATTCCTTTTTATTACCTTAAAATTATCTTTGCATTATATTAATTGAACATCACCTCTTTTCACTAATGTTGCTACACTTTTATAGGATATTATCACCTGAGAACCACGATTTAAGTAAACCAAATCATTTTGCACATTCTTTCCATCATCTATAACTACATCGTCAATATCACTCTTGGATTTTAAAAAAACAAAGTTATGAATATTTGGCTTCACAGTTGCTTGATTCCACTCGTCCCTTGGTAATCTAGGATAAAAACTTGAAATGTTTTCAAAGTGCTGCTGTAAACCTAAAAACAAGTAGAGGGGTTGAAAAGAAAACGTTTATTTTATTTTTTTCAATGTGTCATCGAGGGCGTCATATCAGAAGGGCGTACGAACCAAATCTGAAATTTTACAGGCTTACGCCTTTCTAATATTATAGTTTTGCAAAATTGGTTCATACTTGCGTTAGAATAATGTAAAATGCGTTAGAATAGAGTGTTGATGTTTATGAATATATACGCCCTCCTGATATATTAAGCGAATTGAGTGTATGTTGTCATACGCCCTAAAAACCCAAAACCGACTATAGTGGCTCTTATGCCCTTATGATATGACGTCCTCGATATAATATACACATATTTACAGACCTTCGGAAAATTCCTTAGCAAATTTTAACTCTTGCTCAGTTAAGTATAAGTCAACTCCTTGCTGAATTCTTTCATTTTCTTGTTCCAAAATGTGTACCACATATGTTTCTATTTTCTCCAACCTCATTCTTAAATAACTTGATATTAGGAAATGTAATCTATCTACCTCTAACAGATGTATACTTTTTTTAAAATCCCTACTTTCTAAACTCTGTATGTTACTTTCCATATAAGATATTTGACCTAACAAACAATCAACTATTTCAGCCTTATGAGGTAAAATCTCTGGAGCAAATTTTTCATTTATCCAAGCTTCTTCCATTAGTTCTATAACTTCAGCAGGTGTTAACTGAATCTCATCTTCATCATCACTGCCTTCCAAATTATTGACGAGATCAATATCCATTATAAATATGGATACTTGTTATATAATTTTATGGAATTGCTTCCTTAAAATAAAAATAAGTAGAAGCGTAGACCAACGATTTGACAGAAAAAGGTTATCTTCTTCTGTATTGATGGCCTAACATTAATTTGCATTTGGTCAATTCGCAGGTTCCATAGAAAAATTAATATTCAATTTTCTATGGCAGGTTCTCACATAAACAATAAAACAATAAAAATTCAGGTTATGGTTTATGTTTATTGACAGTTGACAGCACGCGAAATCTTTCGCTCTTGATCATGGAGACCATGGAGACTAGATAAGGAGCACTAACTCATACGCGAAAATTGACAAAATTTGTCCAAGAAATGGCAGAAGTTGGGGTGGCGCTAGTGTTCCATATGACCCAAATGAATGTAGCTTCATAAATACGAGTGAAGTAAGCAAATAACCAATTTTATTTTATTTATATCGAGTTTAGTAGATATATTGGGGAGCGGGGAGGTATACTAAACCTAAAAACTAGAAGTCAAGTCAATAATTATTACAATTTGTTTTTATAAATGGTAAATAGAAAGTTNAATCCCTTTCTTTCCTTTTAATCACCGACCTAATCCCCGGCTTAAGCATAGACGCCGTCGGCATCTTTGTTACAGCACCTGTGCCGGGGTTATGCCCAGGTAAGTTTTTACTTATTTATCAGTTATTTTCATTACTTTAGAATACATTTCTTTAAAATTGCGACCCCCGACAAACAATATACCAGACAGACAAATACACCAAAAGACACGTACGCCCCCGTAAGGGTGCATCCCCACACGACTAAAACCTACACACGCACGCACGCACGCACGCGCGCACACACACACACACCCGCGCGCGCACGCACGCACGCACACCCACATCCATACCCACACACACACACACACACACATACACGCACACCCACATCCATACCCACACACACACACATACACACACACACGCACGCACGCACCCACGCACGCACAAAATGTCGGACTCCGAAAACGAGGAGAACATATACATATACATGGACGATACAGACAGCGAAAGACCCTCTTCAAGAGTCTCCGCTTAANAACATGGCAATCAGCTTAGAAATTGTCCAACCATAATTTATCGACTTTCCATAGTCAGTTTTCAGTTACACTAGAATATAGTATATTATTGGTTATTTAAAAAAATATGGATTGTGATATACTTTATCTTATATGAATTCCTTTCCCATCAATTATTCCTATAACCTGCTCTGGAAATTCATATTGGGTAAAATATTGTTTGATTACAACTGCCTCATTATCTCGGCCATTCTATAATCTGTGGAGACAAGTTACTTAGCAAATGGCAAATTTTTCTTCAATTCTATTAGCTACTTCCCATATGCTAACACGAAAATGTTAAAAATACTTGGCCACTATATTCAAGTACAGTAATTTCAAAGTAGTTCTTATTTTTTACTCTTTCTGTTTCTTAGAATAAATCTATTTCATCATCACTCAAGCTGGACAATGCGTCTAATAAGTCATCTGAATCACTGGACTCAAAATCGGACATCTGTAATACTTTAAAAAGTTTATTTAAAACACCGAGTTTTTTTATATTCAATTTTTTATTACCACAAGTAAAAATTCCATATTAATAATACAAGAATTACTATTTTTTTAAAGGCAACTTCCTGTATAAAATGTGACTATTTTTTACTAACATTAAACTAAAATCTTTAACAAAGTAATTATCGAAAACATAAACCTTACTTATAGGTTAATATTAACAAGATCACGTCATAAATTCCTTGAAAACTAGTTTCTTTCTACAAACACCAAATTCTTCTCATAAAGCTAATATTTTTGATTACCTATTTAGTTTAATTACAGTCCGGAATGACATATTTTCATGATTTATATAATTCAAAGTAGCTTACATTATTTATTTTAAAATTTTTAACACATTACAAAAATGACATGATTGATTTATAATTCAAACCATTCAAACTGCCGCTTTTTTATCCCCCTCTCTACATATGGGACATATGGAACACTAGCGCCCTCTTATTTTTGTAAGATTTTGGTTTACATGGAGTTCGGGCTCCTTGTATAGTCTCCATGATCTTGACGCTCATTCTCCCTACTCCATATCTCTGCTTTGCACGTATTTGAAGTTTGGCTTTGGTTATCTTTGGCACAGAATATAATTCTGTGTCGTTGGTTTCTTAGGTTATCCTCTGAAAATTGTAAATTATAGTATTGCAAGAATTGTGTTTACAATTATTTAGTGCTTAAGAGTTTTCTATTTGTTATTATATTATACTGGGAAAACGATGTGTGTTTTAAGTTATATAGTTTTATTAAAAACCAAACCTATATTTTTACCAACATTATGTGGAACACTCATACTCATGTTTGAAATTACATATTATTTAAGTTAAATATAGATAAAAATAATTATGTGTATGATGATAAACTCCAACTAATATTTTATAAAACCTTTGATACTTAGATGCTTACAAAATTTTTAATGGTGGTGAATTGGTTTCTTTATTCAGTTTGAGACATAGAAAATATACTGTTAATATTAAGGTTTGAAAGTTCCAAACTATATGAACTATTGAATTTAACCCAATATTGTACAAATATTCGGTTAGGTGTATACCTATCTCCGTGAGATTATTATAACAGTTCATGCATAATTTTTATATTTTTACAGCTTACTTACCAACTTATCAAGTTTATGAAGCAAATGAATTAAATCGTTGTCGTTTTTACCTACAATTAAATACATAACAAGAAATTGTTTTAATAGTACATGCATAACAACATTCTGTATAAATCAATTAGGATTTCTTGTAGATACAAAATAAACTTAAAATTATTAAAAAATGTTTTATTTCCTTATCGAAACCATTTACTAAGTATATCTTGGCAAATGTCAAAATTTGAAAAATACTATAATATAATAAAATAATAAATAAGAAATTGTCTGTATTTATTTGTGGCATTATAAATGTTATAATTTGGATATTTTGCCATAGTTTGAAGAAAAAAAAACTGGAAAAATAAACCCTTGTACCGATAGGGACAGTCAAGTGTCAATACTGAAAACTTTTGCCTAATAGTGAGATGCCAGAGACATACATCTACATGTATAAGTCTGGTTACGCACTGGAAAAACAAATTTTATGAAACCTCTAGTTTCGTTATCAAAGCAGAAGCGAATTAGAAAAGTACTGAATATTAGTTTTTCGCTACATTTTCTGTTTAACTAAATAATCTGTTCTCAAAAGTATTGACACTTGACTATTCCTATTTGTATGAGGGTTTACTTTTAAAATTTTTAAAATAATATAATATAGAGGATATAAGTGAGAAGTCGTTTCCATACGATAGATGGCGCTGTAATCAGTTCACAAAGTATAAAGTGTTGCCTACTCATTAGGAGCTAAGTAGTACTAAGCTTCCAAAACGTTACGTGGCGCTGTTTCGCGGTTTAGTGGCAATATTAGGGACATTTCATTCTACGTTAGTACTATACTTTCTATGGTCAAAGAATAATTGAAGCTGCCAATGATATTAGAAACTTTCCACAGTATTTTTTTAGCAGGTGGTAGAAAATTATCAATTAATTCAGTTAATAATATTAGAACATCTTGCATTTTTAATTGTTGCACAACAGACGATTAATAAAATTATTGAAGCATTTTGTTTGCAGAAAGTTATCGATTAAATCCTGCTACATTTTTACTTTTTTTTTTCATTTTCAATGAATTAACATTGTGCATTAACTGTACGACCTTATTAACATTAATAGTTGTCTCAAAAACAGTGTCTTTTTGACAAGCAACAAATATACCTGCAATACTGAAAAACTATTGAGAATTTATTTAATTTGTTATTATTTGTGCTTTATTTTTTATAAATGGTTTTCGAGACTGAAATTTAGGCGCAACAGTTTTTTGTATTTACATAAAATTGTATCCGATGATAAACATCCACATCAGTATGTACATCAAATTTAAAAAAACTTCTTGAAAATAGTTTTTAATTTTTTCAATTTTAACAATCTGCATCTCGAACATTAAATATTTTTCGACAAAATTTTATTTGTACAACTCACCTTGATTTTCATAGTAGAATCTATTGGTAATATTTGGCCCACCCTGTATATAAACAAAAATTCATTCAAATTATGATTCCAAAAAAAAATTTAAAGATAAATTCTGGTTTCTAACAGGCCTCTCATATCTATTTTCTTAATTTATGATGTACAATCTACCCTTAAAATTTAGTTAAGCATTTTAGTTATATTCTGTATAGATTACTGTTTTAAAATATTTATTATGGAGAAGTAAAATTTATACAATTTTTTGATTGTCTAAAAATGTTAATTTTCTCAAATTGAAACATTGAATTTTCTTAATGGGTCGATTTAAAACTTTCACAAACTTTTTTTTAACAGAAAACTTAGATGTTTACGAGAGAATATGCAGTGGTTCAGCAAAGGAAAAGGAAAAGAAACAACAATTGCCAAATGAAATACATATTATTTTTGTTTATTATTATTTATTTATTTATTGTTATGTTTTGAAATCTCTCAAAAATATTAGGTATTATTACACAATTAGCAATCAATAGAAAATGGTAATGTACATTTTAAAAACATTTAAAATTATTTAAAAAGCTAGTAGCGTATGATATTTTTTCAAAAAATGTCCCCTACTTCCCCAATAACTACGCTACTATATTTTGGAATAAGTTATCCATGAAGAAATAATCTCTACTAAAAAAATGTCATCCACCAAATTTTATCACTCAATCTTTTTTGCCAGTCAAGTTACAAGAAATAGTACATTATGTAACGAGTGGGGAAAAGTTGCCAATAGCGCCACGCGGACGCAGTTGAAAGCGACCAACGAGTTGCACATACTATTTTCTATCACAAGTGCGAGTCGTTATGGGACCTATAGCATAGGCCCTGTATCTCCGTAGGGAAGCGTCCTATCAAAAAATTTTATAGGGCAAATCATGCCTATTTTCATCTGTAGAATACACCATTAAAATTTGGCTAAACTTATCATTTACACCCTGTATAATATTAAGAGTACACAACCGACAAAATTCTTATCAGAAACAACAAAGGCTGTCAACCGAAGCCATTCAACTGTTCGGTACATCACCAACTGATTTGATAAGGAAAACAACATCTAAAATAAAAGTAGAAGCGGACGTCTGAAACTACTTACAGTTAGAGAGAAGAAAATCTAAAGCCTTATTGAAAATCATCCATGANAAATTTTTAAGTTTCTAAAGTATAAATAAAATGTTATCATGTTTTTTGTAACCAAAAACATAAAATTAAAATTTTTCGAACAAATATCTGAAGAATATTGAAATTTGTGATTTAATAAAACCATATACCGTATTTAATTTTTGCAAATGCATTAAATATTGCTTTATATGGAATGAACGAATATTGCTTTCTGATCAAAATAAACAGATTTAACTCAACTTACCTCTACCCTTTACTTTGTTTAGAGGGTATTAAAGAAATTAAAAAAAAATCTCAAATAACTGTGAAACGCCTTGTAAAATTTTGTTGAAGGTTGGTGAACTGTTGGTATAGGATTAGTCAGTACAAAATGCAATATTTATCATAAACACAACTACAAAGTAACACAAAATGTGTATAATAAGTACTAAATCTAGTATAAAACTTAAAACTTACGTAATACAGTCTAAAATATAATTTAGCAAAATGACAATAAACATAATCGAAGATCCACTAATACATGCTCAAAAACTCATTAATTGAGTAAAAACTGTTTTCAGTTAAATAATGTTTTATTTGTTTATTAAATGTTTTATTACCAGTGATGTTTTTATATTGATGTATATTAATATTCCCTTATATATTAGGACTCTTCATATTTTGTCAATTTATGTAGGGGAATCATAAGATTTTTACCTCCTCTGGTAGAATAATTATGATAGTAGTCTCCTGGTAAAAATAAATCCTTATTATCTCTTACATATAATAGGATTTGTAAAATGTAGACACACGGTAAAGTTAAAATTTGTAATTTTTTGAATTGTCCGTACATTAATGCTACGAAAAGAAAAAAATGGTTAAATTTTGTAAAACAGTATATGATTTCTCGATTAGTCATTTTCTCTGATGAGTCGAAATTTAATTAATTCGGATCCAGCAGACAAATATACATTATGGAGAAAACCAAACAAAGAACTGAATCCCAACAATTTGCAATCTACTGTGGAACATGGAGGTCAAGGAGTCATGGTATGGGGTATGGGGCTTATGTCTGGCAGAAGTATTGGAAAATTAGTAATAATGGATAAACATATGTACTTTTAAGCATTATGATGGAAAATTTAAAAGAAAGTGCCAATTTGCTTGGAATGGACGATGATTAGTATTTTCAGCAGGCCAATCCAAAGCATACAGCTTACGAAGTACATCAGTAGATCGCGTTCAATATACCCCATATCCTTGCTACACCTCCTCAAAGTCCAGATCTTAACCCCATCGAGAATTTATGAGACGAACTTGAAAAATGTGAATGAAAACACAGTATAATTCATAAAACCCAACTGAAAACCAATGAATGGAAGAGTATAGACCTTGACGGCTCAGGAGAGCTGATCACTTGCTGGGAGGATGCACAAGTGCTGTAACTCAATATACTGAGTTACCCTCCAAATTATTGCAGAATCCAGAATCCAGAGTATAGACCTTGATTTGACCCAGATATTAGTAGCTTCTATATCACTCCGACTTTCCGACGTTCTTAACTCTAAAAGATAATCAACCAAATATTAAATGTGTAATTTCGCTACAATACATATTTGGTATTTCATAATTTCATAACTGTACAAATACATTTGCGATATATATTTTGTGCATAACAAGTTATTTTGATTTTGCCATGATATTTTTTGGTTAGGTATGAGGGCGTAGAGGTCTTAAACCCACGATGACTTAATAAAAGTTTCGTTGATCTTTGTGTTTTATTTACATCGATACAGATCTCTTGTGTGTCACATGCTCTCCTAGACGAATACTTTTGCTGGCCTCCGTATACAGGGCGATTCAGAACTTATCCAAAACAAAAATTTTGGATGTACAGGGGACTCTTACAAATACAATTTTGTAAAGAAAAAATCAAAAAGGGCAGATCGAAAATGATTTAAAAATAATACACTTCTGCAGGGCACTGGAAACTACTCCACTGTAAAACCTGACCTTGCACAACGCGACCGGCAAAGTATGAATAAAATGGACAAAAACTTGAAAGAAGAAATAAATAGAATTTTATAGCACCTATTTTATATCAACAAGTTCAACACTTTTGCCGATATTGTTATTATTAATTAATAAAATTACTCGTAATTTATGGTTTTAAATAATAAAATATTTTGGCATATAATTCTTACGAAGTCAGTTGAATATACAAAAAAACGTCTGGTAATAAAATTTAATGAGTTCCATAGGTGTCCCTAAAAAAATGTTCTGCTAAAGGTAAATAATAATTGTATATAATGTGTAGAAAATTTTTATTATATGTTCATTTGGCCAACAACATATTTTAATTATTTATGTCCTCAATTTTATTATATTGGTGGTAAATTTCGTTTTGTTCCGTTTCAAAAGGTCTCCGAAATGTGATAATATTAGTAAACAAAATATCCCTTATTTTTCCCTTTCGCAATTATTGTAATATGAATGATTGATAGAAGGTGCCTATAATAAATTAAAATTACCTGATTCACACCAAATTCCGCATTGCTGCACTGCACTGCTGGGCAATTTATGAACCACTTGTCGCTGCTATGATTTATTGCCCAGTAGCCCAATACAACTGTAATCGTTTTCTTTTACCCGCGCTCACATTCTTCAACTGAGCGTATACATTTCTATCATCTCTAGAAGGATTTTACAAATTTTTTTTTACGATATTGACTCCATTTCTCATGCCGCATCTATTCCCAAATTTTATTGGATAGGTTGTGAATCAGGCTGTATTAAATTAAAAAATATTTTATTTTTTCTTATTTTACCTCATAAAAAAATTAATACATAGAAAATATTTAAAGGCAATATAAATTATAATTTATTTATTTATATTATCTCCTATTGCTTCGATAATCTCTATCTGAGGACTTACTACTGCTACTAGTACTTCTTCGTCTATGCCTTGATTTCGACTTGTGTTTCTTACTACTCTCTTGGCCCTTATAATCATAAGAGGGTGACCTATCCCTACTTCTTTCTGATTTTTTATTTTTTTGTTTTTCTTTTCGAGACTTACTTCTGCCTCTGTGTCGATCCTTTTTCTTTTTTTTATCCTTGCTTTTATTTTTCCTACTTCCACCACCAGAATCAGAACTATCTCTATACCGATCTCTAGATTTTTTATATTTATTGTCAGAGTCAGAACTAAGAGTCTGTTTGTCTCTATATTTATTCCTGCGACTGTCATGTTTATCTTTATACCTTTCTCTTTCTTCATCACTTTCACTTCTGTTTTTATAATTTCCACGTTGCCTAGGTTTTCTTTCATTTTGATTCTCTGAACTTAAATTATTCTCATGGTCACTTGATTTACTTGGTCGTTCCATTTTCTGAGAGCTTGAACAATTTTTTTTATTCCCGGTATATTTCTCAGAATCATTATCTGAATCCTTTTCAACACTCTCGTTTTTCGTCTTTCGTTGAGCTTCAAGCTTTTTGTCTGACTTTTCCTTATATTCTTCATACTTGGCATTATCTGAAAATCAAATTGTTATTATAGAGAGTCAACTCTTTTACATTAAGGAGGTTTTTCCGATTTGGAATTGACGAACAAATATTCATAAAAAAATTAATATAAGCTTATTAATATAAAGAAAATCATCAAAAAAATTATGACTAGTTTGGATACCTAAGAGACGAGATATTAAATAAATAATTTTTCACAATTTAGTACAGTCTTATGAGAATGCAATGTTTTTATTCTTTCCACTTAGAATGGGCAACAATTGACGAACAGTATCTACAGCAAATTATATAAATAGGAAACCGATATCTAAGGAAACGTATGACAGCTCGTAGAAATCGATTAGGTACTTGTAAGATACATAATTTATAATAATTTTCCTTCAAGCTGCTGTCGTAGTTAACTTCCATATGCTTGATAGCGGCAACGCCGCGGTTCTCAAAGTAGTGTATTATTTGAAATTCGCAGGTGACATATGATATATATTTCAAGCTTAGGCATCCAAACAAAGCCAGCCAGGTGCAACGTTGCCAAATCTAAAGGCTTATTACTTTAGTCACTAACGAATTTACTCTCGTTAGACTTTAGACGTACCTCCGTACCCGATAAACCTCCTTAAAATAGTAGATAAATTAGCTTCTCAATATATTCGCCAATTCTGTAGAAGAAAATAAAAAACTGGTTACAGTGGCAGTTACTTCCTAAAACTGCCCTTGTGCAGAACATGGAAATTGAATAATACTGCATAAATTAACTTTCATATGCTCTAGTTTAAAATATGAGTAAGATGTCCCGAAGAACTTTTAAAACATCGCAATAAACATAATATCTATCATCCCCTTAATATAAGTATATCTCCCTTATTATCCAATTTGGAAAAAAATCTTGCAAAAAGGTAATTATTTTCTATATTATCTGCTCTGAAAATATGAACCACGTTGTATAAATTAAAAATTGAATGGAAAGTTATTAAGTATATTATTAATCGTTTTCAAACAATAGACAAATATGCAGTTTTTTTCTTGGAAAAAAAAATCGATTTCAGCGATAACAACTTACATAAGCCTGTATTCATTTTATTAACAATGTAAAAAAGTTACATCAGGCATTTTCTTTTCCCCAAAAATCTGGTAAAACTCACTTAAAACCTTTGCCCCTTGAGAATATTCCAACTGCGTAACAGGTACAATTAAAAATTCATTCAAAGTTAAAATTTCTCCTTTCAGTGATGTTTTTACTATCACCCTCCCTGCTTCATCATCTAAACCCTGAACCTAAAAATCATCCTATTAATAAAATGCCTAAACAATATTATTACATTTTGATTTACTTCACAGTAGTTACCCTTATGTGAACCAGCAATGATTTTCGCAAAGACCCCCTTTTTCAAAATTAACGCATTCCCGTCTTTATCAAGCACAGGTTCCTCAGCCTTAATTATCCGTGTGGCACCTAGGCCCAAACCTTTGGGCCGTAATTCAGGAGTACTCGCTTCTGCAGCCCTAAAACAGAACAATCATTAGACTAGACCAACGTCTTCAAAGTTTTACGACTTGCGGAACACGGCAAATGTTTCAATTTTTTTGAGGAATCCCCCACACCTAAAAAAATTTTCTAACACATTTTTTACTGATTATATAATATATTTATAAATACTACGATTAACAAAATAAATATTCCAGTAAGTAAAAATTAAACTATGGCTTTAAATTTTACGCATTTCAAAGTCTGCACTAAGCGCATTGCAATACTTTGGTTTTGTCGTTACGTATGTCTTGTTAAGCTCTTATAGTAACTTATACGTGTGTACTTATAAAAATAAAAAAGTTTTAGGAGTATACATTTGTTTGAATTTTATAGTATCGATATTGTTAATTGGAAATTTTGAAGCTTTGACTGAGTCGCAGAACCCCCAGAGAGGTTGTGGGGAACCCTAGGGTTCCGCGGAACACAGTTTGGACTAGACGTTAATAGTTTAGCCTGGAAAATACAGGATGTTCCAAAATTAGCCTGCAATATTTTAACGTAGTCATTTTATGACTAAGAATAAAAGAAAAAGTTGCAACCTCTCAACAGTGCCCCTGAGAGTTGCTTTTCCCAGATACCTCCAAAATCATTTAAGACAAAAGAAAATTGTTCTGAAACTGTTGCTATTATTAAATTTTTAATATGATGATAAAAAAATAGTTTGTAAACTTTAATAACGAGCGCTCCAAATTGAGGGAGTATTGGCTAATTTTTGCTAACACTTTTTTGAAAAATTACAAATTGTAGTCAATTTTACACTGAAAAACGTGTTCAAATTGACGGCAAGTGATGATAAACAGAAGTGCTCATTTTTTACTAATCAAATTTATAGAATTTGGAGATAATCTACAAAATATGTTGTCATTAGTATCATTATACAGGGCATTCATAAATGTTTGTAAGCCATGTAACCGCTGAGATTAGGCAACCAACATTGCAGGGCTGGTACGTAATGAAAAATCCCTAAACCTTAGTGTCGCAATGAACAATAACCGTTATGTCTACTGTCAATAAAATCTCATGAAAAATTACACCAATCACAGCCGGAGAAACAGAATTTTGTGTTTTAATGTAATCTTGATCTTACCATTTTAATAATTTTTAATTTCATCGAAATATAATTGTCCACTGATAAAATTACTGTTCCAAACAAAATTACTAGTCATGTGGCATGTAATCATTTATGAAGGCTCTGTGGCATAACGAAAAAAGTATATGGAAAAATTATTTTTCAAATATTTGGAAAGCTATTTACAAAAATAAAGTTAAGGAAAATAATTAAGATACGTAGGTACTTCACTAAGGATTCACTATTTATTTAACAATCACTTTTGAAAGTTTTTTTATTTTTTTGTGAAATAAAGTGATTATTGATTACGTTCATACCATAATATCCACTCCACTTCAAAATATTTTCAATGTGTAAAATAATTTTTAAATCAATTTTACTCTAGAATGATGCAATGAAAATTACCCACAATATAATCGATTTGAAGCTAGCTACTTGTGCTTTGTGCTGCTGGATGCTGATGCCAATTAAGAGTACATGTCTAAATTCACCACCACTTTTTGTTCTTAATGTTTCATCAAATTTTTACATAATACAGTCCACCAATGGAACATCTAGTTAACATTACTACAAGCACCATTTCCAAGATAAATTTATTAAAAGTTACCAGCAAATAACCAGCAAAAACTTATAATAAATAGAAAAAATCTCTTTATTAAGAAGAAAGATAAAAATAAATAAGTAGTGGTGAAAACTAAATTAGGTAACAGGAAAAAAACCATTAAAATGCTGTACTTTTAACCTTTTGAAGTACAATTATTAATGTTTTCGAACATCTGCTTAAAAATAAGTAAAAACTACTGTATTTTAATGATTTTTTCATTGTTAATTGGTTTTTCGTCATTTTGTTACTTAAGGCTGATTCCCATTTAGGAGTTTTTAGCAGAGTCTTGACCCCGGGGTTTTATGTGAACCCATTGCAAGAGTTTTTCCAAGGTCGAGGGTGAAATCCCTTATGAATGCACATTTATAAGTTTATTCAAGGGTTGGTGTAGTTGAGTCAAATCTAGTTGTTTTTATGTTCTATGTTGATAGGCATTGACAGTTTCCGATGCTGAGTGAGAAAATTTAGTTTAATTGTTCTCTTGTTAAATATAACATAAATATAACAATCACAAAACAGAAAAAAGAATAACAATATTAAAAAAACTGTTATGGAAACAGAAGCAATATTGCTAGCTACAATAATCTGTGGGGTAGCAAGCACAATAATGCCTCAACGAAGGTAACTTTAATAACTCTTCTTTAATTGACCGTATCGCAGCCTCTCTTTTTACTTTATTTTTATACTCTACGTGTTTTAAATTGTATAAAATAGGTCGATTTTGTTACAACACTATTAAAGTCTTGCCCCAAATAAATCTTCCCTCCAATATTCCTTTTGCTGCAGTTTCACAGGTTTCATTCATTTTTATTGCTTTTTCCTTTACCCCATTCAATAGTTCTCACTCACATAAACATAAAAACTGTGGTGTCGTAAGTAACGCCAACAAAACAAAAAAATCCCTAGTACTTTGTTAAAAACACGTTACGAACTCACAAATCTAGTGAATTTTCACGAAAAACTCGTCAGCCACAACAAAAAAATTGAACATGTTCTCATTTCAAGGGTAAACACCCAGGGTTTTTTACAAAGCTCATAATGCACAGGTGTGTACTGAAAAGTCCTGGGGTTTTGATGCAGGGTTGAAACCCGGGGTGAAATCCCTTAAGTGAGAATCGGCCTTTATATGCATTTCTTAAATAATTAATTTTCAGAAGAAACGTTACTATAACAACATTAACAAATCTTGTTTTTTTATTAAAAAAAAAGCAGAGCGAGAAATAACAATAAATGCGGTAGTAAATTATCTACAGTGATAAGCAACAAATTCTATGACTAGGTTTTTGACATTTATAAAAAAATCTTAAAAAAAAGTACAATCAATGTTGCAATACACTACATTCTAACAAATCTGGAAACTTAAAGAGCAAAGCCAATCACTTCTCATATTCTTTCCCAAGTAATGATAACGAGCGAGAGTTTTTAAAATGAGACACAGAAAAAATACAGTTTTAACATAAGCTTATCTGTCTCAAACAAACAATTTTAAACAATATTTTGTAAACAATAATTAGCTATTTAGAATCTGCAGCAAAATTATTATAATAAATACCAACTCGATTAAAAATTTAATGGAACACAGCTTACTTAGCTGGATTTTTCCCAATTCCCGTTCCTTCTTTCCATCCCATGCCTCTCAACATAGCCATTCCATAGTCACTAATAGGGATATTTTCATAATCTTCTAATGTGGGTTCTTCTTCACCATCAATTGTAATTTTATCTTCTTTTATAGGAAGCACAGTTACTTTACTATTAGAAACACTGTTATTTTCTAGACGGTTTTTGGCATCTAAAATAAATAAACATAATTACATTACACATTTTCATGAATACCTACTTAATTAAGTAAATGATATTTTTGGAATATTTGCATATGGAAACTAAATAAAATAATTTTTTTGTATTCAATAAATACCTACTATATTTTGTACTTTTATCAATTATTGTATATATTATTTAATTAATATTTTCTCTTAATATGTACTTGAAACTTTGTGAAGAGGTTATATTAACAAAGTAAGAATTTTATAAAATTGACAAATAAGGTGAAAAGGGGTTTCATATTTCCAGATAAAATACCTACCGTTTATTAATGCTCTTGCTGCTTGTTCTTCTAGAGTCAGCTCCGAATCAGGTCGATTGTCTTCTGCGTTTTCTGATTTTATTTCCCGTTTGATTTTAGCCTCTTTGACTCTATCAAGTAAATTCTTTTTATTATCCTTTATGGGTATAACAAGTGGTTCTTTAATTACCTCCACTGCACTAAAATAAAATAATTATTCAAAATGAGTATTGTTTATTTAAAACACCAGCAGTAGTTACTCTTTAATTTTAATAGATTGCCCCTCTAAACAATCTATCAATTCAACTTTTTTTTCTTCACTAGGCTGTGTCCGTACTATCACTGTTTTTTTCGCTAACTTGTTGAAACCAAAAGATATCTTTTTATTTATATCCATGTCCGATTAAATTAAAAAAAAAATTAAATAAGCAATTGTATAAACATAACCTATAAATGAAACGTCAGATTTAGATTGTGTTCCGATATCAAACATGGTTAACCAAAACCCTGGTTAAACGTTCCATTATTTGTCATTTCCAGATATCTGTATAATTTTGGAACAGTGATTACCTGAAATTGGTTAACCAACTGTCAAACAAGTAACCGGCGTTTTTAATCGGTAAACTTGTAACCGCGCCATTATTCTATGGCTAGAAATTGGCCTCAATGATTTGGGATCGAGGGGGATTATCCCTATTTATCCTGCCTCATCTCGTGTAGGCCCGGACAGCCTTCGTAGGTGGGCCCCATCCGTCGTCTACCCCGACCGCAAATGCGGCCGG